GGGTTTGATCCTGGGTAAGTCTGACCCCAGAGAGTGAGTGGGCTTAACCACTGGGCCCTGCTATCTCCTAACCTGCTAGAGATTTAAGGCAGTGTGGAAGAGTCACAGGAGAACTGGGCAAGGCTCAGAGAGAGAGGAATTCCTCAGGGCTGAGAGAGGAAATAATGTTCCTTTTAGGCAGAAAAAGCACCATTCTAGGCAGAGAAAACAGCCAGGGTCAGGGCAAGACTAGTAGCACCTGGAGCTTCGGAGGCGTTGTGAGGGTGGCTGACACTGAGGTTGTGATGGTTGGACTGTGGGCCCTCACAGAGAGCCTCCCAGGCCAGCAAGGCACTAAGAAAATGGTCATGTTCGTATTTTAGAAAAATCACCCTGTGGGATCATAAGGAGTAATGATGAGGACTACTGATGTCAGTTTGAGGACTAAGGTGCATGTGATCCAGGCAGGATCTTTTCTGTCATTTGCTAAGCATGCACCTGAGAGCCTGACAATGACTAAGGATGACGGAAGAATCGATGCCTTTGAACTCAAGTGCTGATGATTATACGGATTGTGAAAAGGACAGCTGTGTGTTGTAGAAGGTACAATCATAGTGCACCTTGGAGGCTAAGCTGATGAAGCTTCGTCTCACATACATTGGGTCATCCCTTAGAGAGGGACATCATGCTTGGGAAGGTGGAGGGTGGGTCAAAGAAAGGAAGATCCGCAAGCAGGTGGGTTGACATGGTGACTATGGCAGTGGGCTTGAGTGCGTCAGAGTTTGAGAGGATGGTGTAAAATAGGACAGAGTTCAGATCTCTTTTCATATGGTCCCTACAAGTTGTACTCAAACTAAATGGTAGCAAACAACAACAGGGGGCCATAAGACCATTGATGGTGTCTGTGGTCCATTTATGAGTTAATAATGGGCTTGGACAGCAGTAGAAGGATAGATACAAGTAGATGGGTTCATCAACACTTTGGAGACACAATCAATAGGATGTGCATTTGTGTGGGACTAAAGAGAACGGGAGTCAAGAAAATGAGAACTGAGGCTCAAACAGAAACTTGTACACCAATGTTCATAGCATTACTCACCACCACAAGAACATGGAAACAGCCCAGATGTCCAACCACAAAAGAATGGATTGAGAAGTTGTGGTACATTCATGCAATGGAATACTACACAGCACGCAGGAGCAATGATTTTGTAAATTACTACCTAACTTGGGAGGAAACTGAAAAGCATTATGCTGAGTGAACTGACTCAGTTCCACAAGGATAAATACTGTACAAAACCATTATAGAATGAGTATGAGGATCCAAGGCAAGGGCAAGGGTGGAAATAGAGGGGTGAGGATGGCAGGGGTAGGATATTAATCATAGGGTTGCACAATTTGATGGGTGGGTGGGGTGAAGGAAATAGGATCTTTTCTGAAAAATAACATATTCAAACTTTGTAAATAAGTCAGAGTAATATAAAAAAAAATTAAAAAGAAGAGGAATTGATAAGGGCTCTGCCGTGTCTTCCTTGGGTAACTCCTTAGAGGGTAATCCAGGTCAGAACGGATGGTTTACAAACTACCCACTTCATTGTACCCAAGGATCCAGTGCAAACTGTCAGCTATAGAAGTTTGCAGATTAAATTGATCTGTGACTTCACGTGATTTGATAGTTCAACAAGACCACAGTATAAAGAATTACAAAGTCGTGGGGCTGCATCGTTTCACCTGGTTGAGGAACAAAGGCTCCACCGTCTGGTGTGTCTGGGACCAGAGTCTGGGTCCCAGGATTAGCTCGCCCAGTCTCTGGCCTCAGAGGCTGACCTGTGTGTTCTGAGGATGTTACAGAGGATTCCGATTGGAGAAACATCTGGAAAGGCATCTAAACTTTGCCTGTTTTCTTAAATCAAGTAGGGATAAAGCTTATCATCCAAACAAAACAATGCTCATTTTAAAAATTATCTACATTTTGTGTGCAAGAATAGGGAATTATTTGAGAAGAGGAAAAAGATGGGATTTTCGCTGCCTCTTTCTAGGCTATTTCTAATTTCCTTGTCAATTTGGAATAGTTAGACTTTTTTATGAGAAAAAAAATCTGGTACAGAAATATTCTGTTCTACATGGCGACCTTAATACTTTAACAAATATTTTTATTTTCCCATGTTTCTGTTCTGTTCTTGATTGCCTTCGAATCAAGCACAACTCATTGAGACCCCATGAACAAAAGGCCTGAAGTCCCTCTACAACATTTATCAAAGTTCACAGAGTTTCTGGAGGCATGTTATTGGCATTAAAGTAATTTGAGATCTATTATTTAACATCCTCCCAACCATTGTCTGTCTTCTGACAGTTTTTGTTACCGACTACTAGTGTATCATTGAATCTATGTGCCATTCATTAAGCCAGTTCCCTATCATTGGGCAGTTTTCACTCTCATCGGCAGTCCTGCACATAACTTTTATTTCCTTGAAATTAATATATCATACTTTGTGGCTCTTAACATATGCTGTCAAATGCTTGAGGGAAGGGCAGTACTTAAAAAAAATGTCCTTATCAAATCTATGACTATTCTAATCACATCCTTGGCAGTACTGAATATCACTAAAAAAAGCCTATTAATAGCAAAAGGTTCTTTATTGTGCATGGTGCCTTCTTGTGCCCATTTGCATGGAAGACATTTCCCTGGTCTGGATGTCAGGAGCATCTCTTTTTCATAAAGGAATATGCTTTTACCTTATACTGAGGTACCTGTAATTCTCAGTGTTCTTCTTTGTTTAGATGGGAGGTTAGAACCCAAACCACAGCCTGCTTTAAGCCAATGCAAAGAATCCCTTGCCTCTATGTTTCTGTGTCCTTTATTTTCCCTCTGTCTCCGTTGGCCTGTGTCGTTTCAGTTGTGTATCTTTGTGAACAGATGTCTGAAATTCCTAGCTCTTAAACTGGTAGTGTGGTAGAAGACTGGCAGAGGAAGTAGGTGACAGGCTAATAGAAGTGTATTTGGGCACCACTGTCCCTGACCCCAGCTCAGACCTGCTCTTGTTACTGAGGACATAATTTGAGAAGAAGACAGAGGTAGAAACCCTGTTTCCGAGGGATCCCAAGACCATCTTAGAGGAGTTAGGGGTAAGGGAATTGGGAACGTGTTACTCACAAGAGTGGTGTCCGTATAGAATGGCACAAAATGGTTTGATGATGTGATTGTACTCAGTCATCTCTGAGAATCTTAATTTGCCTGTTTTTCAACGAGGAAATGCTGCCCCACTCATTCCCCACACTGGAGATAGCTTCTTAAAGACATGATCAAAACTTCATGCTTTCTGGCCTTCTTCTCACCTGCTCATTTGTTTCTGTCTTGTTGATGCCCATGTCATAGAGGCTACCTTCACCACCCATCCTTCAGGTTGCTACACATCACGCTGCATCTCCAGGCTGCAGATTAAGAAACTGAGACACAGTGAGGTTGAATAAAACTCAACCCAAGTTCAATTAACTAAGATGGTTACAATGCATGTTTGTTGAATGAATGAGTAAATGCATCGCTGAAGAGTACTGTGAGCCAACTATGGAAACCTCTTCCATCTCTGGAGGGAACTGTTCACTTTCCATCAGTGGGAAATGGGTCACGGCATCTCTTCTCTTAAAAGGACTGGGAGCGTGTACACCCTCTGCTCATGCTTGCCTTTTCCAACCTGTGCTAGAAGGGGAGGGTGTCTAGAAAAATTGGAATGACTCTCAGAGAAAAATAAAAATCCTTGGCAGTAAAAGCATAAGGCATCAGGACAATCAGTGGTAATAAAGTCAAAGGTTTATTGAGCACTCATTGCCAAGCACTGCAGTGAATTGTTTCAGGCATTAACTTGGCTACATTTTCTTGAGTATTCTCCAAGGTAGCTTCTGTTATCATTCCCATTTTATGAATGAAAAAACTCAAGTGGCTTGAAGGCCAAATAGCTTGCCCCAGGGTACCCCAGGCAAGAAATGACGGTGCTCAGCTCCAACCCAGGCAGTCCACTTTCAAAGTCCCTGTGGACATCCTTAAGGACTTTGCTTCTCTACAAATGGAGTCGTTTGACTTTGGTTTCACATGGGGAGATGCCTCCCCTCTCCTGTGTTTCTCACAAAATCTATGTGCCCACTAGTCAACAGCCGTTATCACCCACTCTGTACATAAGTAAAAGCCATTCTATTGTAGGACAGAGTTAGACTTGAGTCCCTCACCCAGGAAAGAATGGGTTGAGCCTCGTGCTAGGTCCCTGCTCTCATGGAGCTTTCAATGCGGTATAAGAGAATGCTCACCTAACATGTAGAGAAGTCACGACTCTCCTTTCCCTTGTGCTGATAAGCCCACACGAGAATTGTCTGTGCTAGTCTAGAATGACAGCTCAGAGAAGTGCAAGGAGAAGGGCCACTCGTTAGAGGCCCACTGTGTAAAGCAGAGGCACCAGCCCCAAGCTGATTTGGATTAAATGGATTTCCAGACAGTGGGAGCTACAGCCCAGAGGCCTCCAATGGAGAGCAGATGGGTGTGTTTCAGAGCTTGAAACGCAACCCTCAGATCTCAGCGTGGCTGAGACCCAGGAGACGGTGCAAACTCTGGGGGTCATAACATGGGACGAGAGCTGAGAGATAAAGCTCAGACCACGCTTCCGAGGCTAAGGGTTAAACCATGGTTCTGAGTGAGATGGAGGCCGTGGAGGGTTTTAGCAGGAGGTCAGATGAGAGGACTCTTGTGGGCCAGCTGTGTCCCCCCCGGCATCTTGTGTGGCTGTCATGTGAGAAGGAGAGATTAGAACCCAGAGTGGTCAACTGAACCCTCTTAGGGTCCAGTACCCCACAATCAGCCAACCACTCCCCTTCCCCAGCACCAGTCATCTCCAGGGCCCAGGTGGGCCCCCTTAACCAGTTGCATCAACCAAGGAAACATATGTCGTCGCCTTTGAATTGCTGCTGTTTCTAAAACTCAGTGCCGTGCTCTCAAGTCTCCCCCGTGGGTAACGGATTCTTATGTTGACTTGCAGATCATCCGGCAGCAGTTTCCTCAGCTAACCACCAGAAGACTTGGAACTCGAGGGCAGTCAAAGTAAGCACCGGGCGTCATTCCACCTGCAGGGTGGGCAGCCTGGGCCTCAACGGCAGGCCCTGAGCATGGGCCCTTCACAGGGAGCTTCATCGGCAGGTGGCCTGGAGTGGTGGCTGTGCCAGGAAGCAGCGCCGAGGAACCCTTTGACAGGCGGACCCCTCTTCCAGGGTCCCCAGGTTGCTTCAAGGGCTATAGAGTTGGCGTGTGCACCTTCTTGCCTTTAAGCTTTTTGGTTAAACAGTGCTGGGCGTCATTTAAAACAAAACAAAACAAAAAACCACCAAAATGTCAAAACGTGTGCTTTTTTTTTTTTTTTGGAGACTGCTCCACTTACTTGTTGACTATGTGCTCTGATAGTCTCTAGTCAGCCATGAGGACAACTTGTGCTAATCTTTGCATGCAAGGGAGGCGTGAAGAAAGAGCCAGCTGCGGCTGGCTGCGTAGTGATAGCCATAGCGTAGGTGAATGCACATCACCCAGCAGTCCAGGAGTCAGGCCAGGCGTCAGTCCCTCACCTGGGAAATAATGGGTTGAGCTCTGTGCCTGGGCCGCGGTCTGTGCTTGGTCCCTGTTCTGATGGAGCTTACATTCAAGTGTGAGGAAACCTAGAAAGGATGCTGGAGAAAGTAGGCTCTCCCCTTTCCTGACAGCGCTGAGAAAACATCATCCTTGGGCTTCACAACCAGCCAGCATCATTTCTTCTCTGTTCCAAAAGCGTAGTGCTGGGGAATCCTGGGACTAAGTAGCAGCTTGCTGTGTGTCCTAATGTAACTGCCTGCCTCCTGGTGGGAAAGATAAACAAAGAGAGAATAAACAGTAAAACACCAATCAGATCTGAACAAAACGTAGAAAGGAAGGTTATTAGAGAGGCAGGAGAACCAGGGTGGAGAAACCAGTTAATCTTGCTTCCTGAAAGGTTGGAGGTTCGAGTCCACCCAAAAGAACTTGGAAGGGGGAGTGTAATAAAGTCATGACAATCTTGGTCACAGCCTTGGAAAACCTTTTGGCACCTAAAGTCCATCACAGGTCAGTTCGCCAGGAATTAGAATCGCCACAAAGGCCGCTGAATAGATAAATAACAAAATTGACAGTAGACAAAAACAACAGTGGCTTGGCTAAGAGGGTTGGGCCTGGGATTGCCTGTAAGTAGGTGACAGCTAAGACAAGCCCCAAGTGGGAGGAAGGTGTAGGGACATGGGCCTCTCCAGGGTGTGAGAAGATGATTGGACAGTCTGCCGCCACTGCTCAGGTGTCATCAAAATCCGGATGAGTAGGACCCTAAGGGGTTATTGATGTACAGACATGCTTTAAAAAAATCTGGATGCATAAGACCCCAAGGGGTTTCAGAAATCATTTGATATTAACAAGTGTCCCAGGGGGAGAGGCCAGACCCCACAGAAGTCAGGCAAGCACTGAGCTTTTTCCCCTCAACTGCAACCGCAGTTGTGATCGTGAACATTGTGACTCCAGTGGGGAAAGACGAGATAGAGAGATAGAAAATAAAGTTCCTCTCAGGCCTACCGCATCCGGTAATGTCATCTGAGTATCAGACGAGAACAGTGCTCCACAGGGCTTTCAGTGGCTGTCTTTTGGGGGTCAGGCCTCGGATCGTTCTCCCCAAGCGTGTCTCCCCTCCAAGTACCAACTCTCAGGCTGTCAGGAGCTGAGCACTGGGACTGTTAACTGACAGTAACTGACAGGCCAACGGACGGCCCTTCCGTTAGAAGCTGGGCAAGTTGGCAAAACCCAGCGACTGCAGGACTCTGCTGGAGGGGGCCTTTAATCACGGGGCCCTTCTCAAACATTCTGGCCATGTTTAGCAACATGCCAGCCTATATTCCCCTCCCTCCATTTTATTTATTTTTTAAATTTTTTTTAAATCTCACACCCAATGCAACTGAGTCACTTCCAACTCTTAGCAACCTACAAAGGAGCTCTGGTGACCTGGTGGTAAGGAGCTGTGCTGCCATCCCAGAGGCATGTGGTTCGAATCCACCAGCTGCTCCATAAGAGAAAGACGGACAGTCTCCTCCCTGATGATTAAACTGCCTCTGAAAACCCACTGGAGGGTCAGCTATGAGTTGGTTCTGAGTTGATGGTATGCAACAAGAACAGGCAATGTGCAAAACACTCAAACCTTTAGAAAAACAGTCGTGCTGGGCTTACAGCATGGCCTTTTCTGTTTCAAATACACACCACCCAACACTGTCACCTGGGTACCAGCCTCCCAACCCCCTCTCCCCCAGGACCCCCTAATCCCTGGACAGCACACTCCTCTCCCCACACAGTGAGTTTCACTTTGAAGCCAAGTGTGAAGGAAAAAAATATGGTCAAACTGGAAAAAACTTTTTTGGTCAAATTCTGAAAATAGCACCATAGGCCGACTGACACACACTCTCTCTCTCTCTCTCTCTGTCTCTCTCTCTCTCCCACACACAGAGAGAGGGGGGGAGGGGGGGGGGGGGCAAAGAGAGAGGCTTTCAGAGTTATTTCCAAAATGACTTTCAGAGCATATTTTAACAAGAGACGTCTTGGGATAAATTCCTAATAATTTTCCAAGGTAATTTCCCTGAAGTACCAACCTTGTTTAAATACAAGCACTCTGGTTTACAAGTGTTCGGGTCTTTCGTTCTTAGGGTCACTATGAGTCGCCTATGACTCGACAGTAGTTAACAACAACAACTGGTTTAAATGTGTTTAAAAATGAGATGGTTTCAGCATTGGTAAAACTCGTTGTGTACAGCTGAGTTGGAGCCCACCCATAGCAGACCCTCTAGCAGGTTTTCAGAGGCCATAAATCACACGGGAGGAGATTTGCTCATTTTTCTCCTGCGAAGCAGCTAGTGGGTTCAAACAGCGTGTCTTGGGGTTGGCAACCCAACTCTGTATAACTAAGCCACCAACGAGCCCTTTGGTAAAACCACTGAGCACAAATATCAGATTGATATTGAACACAGGGTTTAGTCTTCCAGCTCCCTCTGAAATAGAAGAGTAAAAAAAAAAATAGTGAAGATAGAACAGAAAGTTTTCCTATCCTGTATGAACTTGGAGATGATTCTCTTCTGTAGTCAAAAGCCTGTATTTTTTTTATATCTTTACAAGCTGGTTCGGGAGCTCTGGGAACCTAGTGATAAGAATCTGTGCTGCAATCTCAAAGGCACAAGGTTCAAAACCACTAGCTGTTCAGTAAGAGAAGGATGGGCCGTCTCTTCCCGTGCAATTAATTACCTCTTAAAACCCACTGGAGTGTCAGCCCTGAGTTGATTCCAATTCACAGCACACACTGACAAAGCCGATTAGAATTAATTTTTTTTAAAAAAAAAAAGGAAAGAGAAGGAAGGAAGGAAGGAAGGAAGGAAGGAAGGGAGGGAGGGAGGGAGGGAGGGAACTGATAAATTGGGCAATATCTTTAAAATCACTTTAAAAATTCCATGTTATCATTTCATTGCATATTTTCCATGAGACTCTACTCCCAAGGTTAGTTACCCTTTCAAGCAATAAAAAAGTAGTAATAAGAGCAAACTCTAACCTCCAACCTATCAGCTTTCTAGAGGTCTCCATTAACAGAATCTGGGGAGAAGGTCAAGGCTGTTGACAGCTCTGCCTAACAAATGGGGGGAAAGGTCAAAAGAGGTCAGTGTGACAGCATTATGGTTAACTGCTGATTTTAGAACAGACCCTCTCAGATAAATCAAGAAAGAGTCTGGTTCAAATAATGCATACGATTACTATCTGGAGTTTAAGAAGTTACGAAGGGAAGCCTTCTAAGGTTCCAGAGGCAAGACCTAAATGCCTCTGTCTGAAGTGCCATTACTGGAACGCCTGGGACCCATCCCCCACTCCCCACCCCCCACAAAAGGCAGTTATGACAGTTGGAAACAGAAGGCAGAGAAGGCAGATATTAGCCCAACACAAAGAAGAACTCTCCGATAACTCTACCGGCGTAAAATGGACTGGGCTGCCTTCAGAGGGTCCGAATTCTTCATCCCAGGAGGAATTCAGATAGAGACTCCATGTCCGCTAAGCAGAAATTTCACAGAATGGTATCAGGCATTAGGGGGGCTGGGGAGACGGAGGGGGTTCTGTGAAAGCTGCTCTTGGATAGCTCCAAAAGCTTTCTCTTTGGTCTTATTTCATTAACCCTCCCACACCTCCAGGGGGGAGAGAAAAGTGGTTATTGCGTTGTGCAGTGTTTTCTGGAAGTGAGGCCCATGAATTATATACATTCATATTGCCTTGCAACGTTGGGTAAAAATGCATTCTGGTTAATTCTGAATTAGGCTTTTCAGAGGTGAAGCCCCAAAGTGTGTTCTTTTGATATGTTTTATAGGTGATTTACAGGTATCGGCTGTTGTGTGAGAATTAATGACTTGGAGGTTAAAAGCAGGTTAGAGGTTCAAATCCTGCCTCTACCGAGTGAGGGGTCTTGGATCGGTTAGTTAAAATTTTTTAGGGCTCAGAATCCTCATCTGTAAAATGGGAGGAAATCCTTAATTCCTGTCTTACGGGGACTTTGTAAGATTAAATAAAATAGTTTATTATCCAGCTAGGGAGCTCTGGTGGCCTAGTGGTGAGGAGTTGTGCTGCCAATCCAAAGGTATTGGGTTCAAGTCCATCAGGTGCTCCATGGGAGAAAGATAGGCAATCTCCTCATTTGTGATTCACTACTTCTAAAGACCCACAGGAGTGTCGGCCAGCTCCACAGCACATGACAACTAACAACGTTATCCAGCAAGTAGATAATAATAGCATCTCTAACAGCTGGAGTTCAGTAAAGCTGGGAGGGGAATTCAGGTACACAACCCAGAAAGCTGTAGACCTCAAGGTACATCAGATTACCTGCGGCAGGTACTCAGTGCTGATTCTTGGGCCTCATTTCCAGACGCTCTCAATTGATAGGTTGGGGATGGGACTCACTAACCTCCCTCAGGGACTTTGACAAATGTCCCAGTTGCTAAGACCAATGCATGCAGTATTTTCTTAATCAAAAGCTACACGAGTAGCTTTTTGTGGCCAAATAGACCTATCTTCAGGAACCTGTTCTTTCACAGTTCTTTAACCTGTAGCAAAATACTCATGCAGAAGGTGCAGAAGACTTTGTATGTTGGCTGCCAACAAGTTGACTCCAGGCTTGTATCAACCCCATTCACAGCAGAAGGAAGCTCTGTCTAGTTTGGTACCGCCCCCCCCCCCCCCCTTGACTGGTTGCAGATCTGACTGTTGTGATCTATTGGGTTTTCCTGAGCTGATTTTCACAAGTAAACCACCAGACATTTCTCCCTAGCTCACCTTAGTCGAGAAGCTCTGCTGAAACCCTTTCAGCCTCATGGTAGCAACCCAAACCTACCCTGACCAATAGGCAGGAGCTGTACACGAGATATTACTTGGAAATAGAGCTAGGGTTTCACATCTATAAAAGCAAGAGTTCTAGCAATGAACTACTACTAACTCCCTCGTAGGAAGAATGCAATCCTGCTCATTCCAGGGTTAAGGAGCCCTGGGGGCACAGCGGTTAAGTACTCCGCTTAAGTGCTAACTGAAAGATGCTTGTTAAAACCCACCAGCCGCTTCTGAGAAGGAAGCTGTTGCAGTCTGCTTCTGTAAAGGCTGCAGTCAGGGAAACCCAATCGGACAATTGTAGTGGACCTTGCGGGCACCGTGAGTGGAAACTGACTTAAGATAAGCAACGGGCGTGGGGTTATTTTTACAAATGAAGGTGCATGAAACACTTTGCTGCATTTAGAGCATGATGACAATTGATGGCACCTAGATGCTGAGCAAAACACAGCCTCCATCCTTCATTAGTCTTAATTGAAAACATTTATCAAGCTCATTTTGAGTGAACAAAAAATTCTGGTCTTTATTATATACTTAGTGTCTGCTGGAGAACTAACCGAATCATTTGGAAAAATGCAAATCTTTGGAGCCAGTGTTTGTTACGAATTGCACATTAATGATTTCTGTCAAGGGTGCACTTAGCAGTCCGAAGCCCGTCCTTATGCTTGGGCGTCAGAAAGTGGGGGGACATCATGGCAGAAAGCTTGTAATCATTGGCTGGCTTTGAGTACCCCTGAGGACCACTTTTGTTCAGAAATTAGAGAAAAAAAGTGTAAATGGAATTTTTTTTTTTCAATCTACCTTTCAGCTTTGCAAAGGATTTGACTTCAGGTTTTCTGTGGGAGGCAGTTTTGGTTATTTTTACCCTCCTGATTGATGGATGGAAGCTTAGGTTTCATTCTCAATCTCTGAGAAAGGGGAGTTTTGCAGAAGAGTTAACTCTTGGGGCTCCAGGGAGGATGGGCTGAGCCACCCTTGGCCTGGGGCACCCCTCTCCACCCCCGAGGGACCCCCCCACTTGTCACAGTTCATGAGGGTCTCTGTCTTGTCTCTGTGGCCCAGGTACCATTACTATGGCATTGCTGTGAAGGAAAGCTCCCAATATTATGATGTGATGTATTCCAAGAAAGGAGCCGCCTGGGTGAGCGAAACAGGAAAGAAAGAAGTGAGCAAGCAGACAGTGGCGTATTCACCCCGCTCCAAACTTGGAACATTGCTGCCAGAATTCCCAAATGTCAAAGACCTCAACCTGCCGGCCAGTCTGCCCGAGGAGAAGGTAACCGCGCCAGAGGGGCTTCCTGGGGGTGGGCTCAATGGTGCTCACTCCCTCTCTTGTGTATGTTGTCACTTTCAATCCCCCCCCCCCGTCCTGCTTCTTTCACATCTATTAAAACATGAAAACCAGATAAACAAACTCAGAATAAAGTATTAGTTATGAACCTTAGTTACTAATCGTGCACTAGTAAGGCTTAGTTGGGACAATTTCAGTTGTTAGCCATTGAGGCAACTGGATATTGGGTAGGTGAAAATTCCCTGCACCGTCTTTGCAACTTTTTCCATAAATCTACAATTACTTAAAGATAAAAATGTTCCTTGTTTGTCTCATATATGTGCATATATTTCATGGACATGTAATCTGTGCTGTATGCTGCACGCCCTCATTCTGAACCGAGGGTTCACCCTTCGCCTAGATGGTGCACGGTGTCTTCATAAGAGGAGGAGTCTTCTCCTCTGGCTTGCTTTGCCATTGGGTGAATGTCACCTTCCTAGGTGTGTCAGCAAGGGAGATCCCAAGCCCACAGGGAAAGGTTTGACTGATACTGTGAATCAAGTCAACAAATCTCGAGGAGCTTCCCCTGAGGTATCACCTCTCTGATCTACTTACCTTAATGCAGCCTCTGGCGCCAACAGGGGAAGAACTGGGGTGCAGTGGGGCAAGGAGAAGAGAGCCTCTCAAGAGGTTTGATGTGAGGTGAGCCACACAGGTGTTTGAATAAGCATGCCACATTTCTAGAAAAATCTCTGTGTCTCAAACCAAGAAATTGAGTTTGAAGATGTAAATATTGCTTTAACTACAAACTACCTTGTTTTCCCCCATATTCCCCATACCCTCTCTGTCCTAATAAACTTCCTGCCCCATAGCTTTAAAATTCTTAGGCAAATGGATGGAGATGCAATTCTTTTACAAAACAGATTCCAGAAAGCTCCCAGATGTCTTTTTGTGACTTTGGCAGAAACATTTCCCCTTAAAAAAATGTATGCTGGGTTTTAACTTTTCAGCGTCTTAGCAGATGAGCATTTAGCTCTAGAAACTAGCTGGGCACTGTGGTGGGCACCAGAGACCGGAGCATGAGTATAACAAGAGGTCGTTCTTTTCCTGGAGTCACTACAGTGTCAGGAGATGGAGAATGGGGCAAGGGAGGGCGAGAGCAAAGGGGATACTTTTCAGTACCGCGGGGCTAGTCTTCTGAAGGAGAAGTCCTCAGGCAAAGTGAAGGCACACAAAGGGAAGGGTACCAAGGATGAGAAGAACAGGACATTGATGAATCCCTAATAGTAATTCCTTAGTAGAGAATCAATGACTTAAAAATGGAAATCCCAAGGGCTACAGTAGTAGGTATTCATACACACCCCTCACTGTCAATCTCTCTCTCTCTCCACCACCCCCACCCAGGTCTCTACCTTTATTATGATGTACAGAACACACTGTCAGAGGATACTGGACACAGTAATCAGAGCCAACTTTGATGAGGTAGGTCAACAAGTGTTAGCTGCACTTTACCAGGTGCAGGCATGCCCCGGAGGCATTGCGGGTTCGGTTCTGGGTCACCATGGTAAAAGCAAACACGGCAGTAAAGCCAGTTGTGTACTTTTTTTGGTTCCCCAGTGCCTTGAAGCGTTATGTTCACCCTGTACTGTTGCCTAGTCAGCGTGCAATAGCGTTATGGAAAAGGGTGATGTAGGAGCTCTGGTGGCCTAGTGGCAAGATGCTGCAGTGCAATCCCAGAGGTACGTGGTTCGAATCCACCAGATGCTCTGCTGGAGAAGGAAGGGCAATTTCCTCCTGTACTAGTCAGATCTGATTTGATGGTACATAGACAAAAAATAATAAAATGTAAAAAAAAGAAAACGGGTGATGTATTGTAATCATCTCCAAAGGGAGACACAGAGTGGGCACACCCTGTTGGGGGGAAAATGCTACCGATTGACTTGATCAATGCAGAGCTGCCACAAAATGTCAATTTGTAAAACAACAGGGTGCCTCCCACCACAATATCTGCAAAGCACAATAAAGTAAAAGGCAATGAGATGAGGCATGCTTGTATTTAAATGCCATAGCCACCGTAGCCCTGTGTCATGGGCTTCTGTGAGGGGCCAGCCTCTGGGGACTTGGCTGTGCACATTCAAGAGCTCCCTGGACCCAATAAAGCAACTACTTTTCATACGCCCATTTTACAGATGGAATAATCTCACAGAAAGCAGTATAACCTTTTGTTTGATAAAGGAGCTCCACTGGCATAGTTGGTTTCATGATGGAGTACTAGCCTAATGGCCATGGGTTCAAATCTACCAGCTGCTCTGTGGGAGAAAGAGAAGGACCCTCTTTCTTCTTTTTTTTTTTCTTTTTTTCTTTTTTATCTTATTTAATGAAAATTTACAAAGACTTTGGATTTCCATTCATTCATTGTTGCATTTTTCTCCCTGCCCGTCCCCCCAAACCCCAGTTTCCTCTTCTCTTTGAAAAGTAAAAAAAAAAATTATTTCATTGTTTTACAGTCCCTCCCCCCAAGTCCACTCCACTATATAGCCTTCCTTCTGAACTCCTGTCATGACAATAATACCTAATCACATATCCCTTTTAAACCGTTCTCTCCCTCATCTGTCTCAATGCAGTATGCATCATAATTTATCCCATCTTTCTCCATTAAGGTTTACAGCCTCCGAAAGCCTCTGGGCGGAGCAGAGCAGCCATGAATCGGTATCAGCTTGACAGGAGAGGGTTTGGTTTTGAGTTCCCCCTTTATGTAACGACTGAGCAGCGTCCTGCCCAATTGGCATACTAGGAAGACAGTTTTGCCAGGATCTAATTAAACTCTGAATTATAGACTCGGAGAAAAGACAGAAAGGTTTCCTTATAGTTTGGAGTTAATCTTCTCCTGAGGCTTATTTATTTCATGCATTTGGAGTGGGCTGGCCCTCCATTCAAAAAGTGCTCTTCAGAAGGAAGGCTGGTGAAGCTTCATCTCACATACCCTGGGGATGTTACCAGGGGGATGAAGTTCCTGGAGAAGGGTGTTATACCTGGAGAAGTAGAGGGTGAGAGAAAAGAGGAAGACCCATCAAGGAGATGCATGGACACTGTGACTGCAAGCGTGGACTTAAGCACTCAGAGAGGGTGAGAGAGGTGTAGAACAAAGCAGGCTTTCCTTCTCTTGCACACAGTGTGGTTATGAGGCCGATCTGACTCAGGGATGCCTATTAGCAACCATCCTTCGTTCTAAAGGTCTGGTCTACATTTCCATCAAATCGTAGCAGTAGGGCCATCTTTGAATTTAAAAAAAAAAAAAAGGAAAAGTCAGATATCCTTTTCCTTTAAAATATCACAGCCAAAGAATGGAGAAAAGATAGGAGAAAGGATGCAGGACCCTGTTATAGAATCAGAGACAGTAAAATCCTGTTGTCTAAGATGCCATCTTTGAAGAATTTGCCAGCAAGATGGCAAGAAATCAGACTTCCCAGCCAAAAGGTCCTGGGCTAGGTTGTGGACATTCACACCGAGGGAAGAGAATGCAGGCTCTGGATACAGTATTTACTGGCGGAGGAAATTCCAGAGGCCTCCTGGACAGAGACGCTATTGAAGGTAATGTTGTTGTTGTTGTTGTTGTTGTTGTTGTTGTTGTGTGCTGTTGAATCTCTTGCGACTCATAGTGACCCTACGTACAACCCCTAAACTCTGTTCTGTCCTGTGCCAATCGCACTGTTTCTGACATTCCCATCCCAATTACCCCAGTCACTGAATCAATCCACCTCATAGAGGGCCTTCCCCTCCTGCGCTGTCCCTCCACCCTCACAAGCATGATGTCCTTCTCCAAGGACCGGTCTCTCCTCACAACATGTCCAAAGTATGTTAGATGAAGCCTCAGAATCCTTGCCTCCAGGGAGCCACCCGATTTAACCCTTTCCAGGATGAATCTGTTTGTTTTCCTAGCAATCCATGGTACCTTCAATATTCTCCAGCACCACAGCTCAAAAGCATCAATTCTCCTTCTATCCTCCTTAGTCACTGTCCAACTCTGTGATGCATAATAAGTGATAGCAAAGACCATGGCCTGTATTAGACACACCTTAGTCTCCAGAGAGACACCATTGCTCTTCAGTACCCTGGAGAGGTCCCTAACAGCAGACTTTCCCATGGCAATACATCTTTTAATTTCCTGGATACTGGTGCCAAGAGTGTTGACTGTGGAGCCAAGCAAACTAAAGCTATGAACAATCTCAATCTCTTCACTATCAGGTATAATTCATAGCCCACTGCTGTCAAGTCCGAACGGGCTCCTGGCTGATCTTCCACTAGGTTTCCAAGGCTGTAAATCCCAGTAGGAAGAGATCACCCATCTTTCTCCGTCAAAGACATTGGTGGATACAGACTACCAGCGATAACAGCCTTTTAGTCAGCAGTGTAACACCTTATGGACTGCATCACCAGAGCACCCTTATGTTCTAGGGGAGGCTATAATCTAGGCTAGGATCACAGTCTTAAATTATCTTGTTTGGTTGTTCCCTTAACTACCACAATGTAAGCCTTTGAGGGCAGGAGTCTTGTCTGTTTGGCTAGCCTTGCCAGCCCTACTTTTAGGCAGTCAAGATTGGTGTTGAGTGGGTGGGTGGATGGATAGATGGATGGATGGACGGATGGATGGATGGATGGATGGATGGACGGATGGATGGATAGATGGATGGATGTTAAAGCCCTAATGACTTGTAACATTGTTGAGTGAGTAGATGCAAAGACTTTGTTTTTAGAAGGCTCCCACCAAAGCCTTCTCTGAACCTGATTACAAAAAGAATGATGAGCTCAACTAGTCTTGAGTGCCAAACCTAGTAATTGTTAGCTTGTGATTTGAACAAGTTCCTTAATGTTTCTGAGTCTCAGCTTCTTTTGCTGTGAAATGGAGATAATAATTAAACCTATCTCAGAGTAATACTGTGAAAATGACATGATGTCACATATGTGATGTATCCAGTTTTGCATTATGAGCATACTAAATGGTAGCTAGGTTGATATTTGTGCAATCACTGAAACTCTCCTGATATGGAGGCAACTGAACATCTGGAATGGGAGATGGTTAGATGTTTTCTACGGTTGTTGCAAGATAATACCCACATGTTAGGAATGAACTCTACATGAGCATGGGAAGAAAGAGAGATTTGCTGAAGAACTCTTTAAAGAGCTCGTCTAATAGTTCTTTAAAACCTAGAGGAAAAGGGAGCTCTGGTGGCCTAGTGGCAAGACGGTGCACTGCAATCCCAGAGGTATGCGGTTCAAATCTACCAGATGCTTTGCTGGAGAAGGAGGTGGCAATCTCCTCCTGTACCAGTCAGATCTGATTTGATGGTACACGTAAAAATAATACAATAAAAGTTAAAAAAAACCCAAAACCTAGAGAAAAGGGGCTGAGAGCTCAGGAGGGTTGAAACTGGCAAGGCAGGGAACTTATTTTAAGAAATCACTTTCAATCATTGGCTTCTGATTCTTTGCCCACTTGTGCTAGAAGAATAAGCAGAACTGAATGGAATTCTCCTGTCTCATGTCTCCATCTATTAAGCACTTGGAATAAGTCGGAGATTTTACCCAAGTTGTTTTAGTCCTCTCTAACAAAATGGGGAGGGGGAGCTCTGGGAGCCTAGTCCATGGCGACTTAAGCTGCTAACCTGAAGACAATGGTTCGAATCCATCAGAGGCTCCTTGGAGAAGGATGAGAAATGTCCCTCCATTTGATTTATACCCTCCTGAGAACCAGCTGGAGGGTAAACAATGAGTTGCTCCAACTCAACAGCAAGAAATTCGAGTAACAATGGCCAGGCATCATTATCACTATTTTAAAAAACTGACGATTGTCATATTTATATATTCCATGGACTGCTAAGAAAACAAACAGATTCGTCCTGGAGAGGGTTAAACCAGGCTGCTCCTTGGAGGCAAGGATTCTGAGGCTTCTTCTGACATACTTTGGACATGTTGTAAGGAGAGACTGGTACTTGGAGAGCGACATCATGCTTGGGAGGGTGGAGGGCCGGCGCAGGAGGGGAAGACCCTCTATGAGGTGAATTGATTCAGTGACTGGGGTAATCGGGATGGGTGTGTCAGAGGCAATGCGATTGGCACAGGATAGAGCAGGGTTTAGGGCTGTTGTACATAGGGTTGCTATGAGTCGCAAGCGACTCGACGGCACATAACAACAACAAACAACAATCCTGAGCTCTAATCTCATTTGTCTAAGCATCTAACTTAACCTGGCCCAAGCAGAACTCTTCACTTGCTGCCCCAAAATCTATCATTCCCAAAATATTAAATTCCCATCACCATCTTCTAACTGCTTCAGCCACAATCATCCATTCTTCTCTTCCTCTCACCCTCCATAGCCTCCTGTCCTAAAAATATGCCTCCTAAATAGATACAGTTGGTCTATCCATCTCTCAAGTTCAAGGCTAGGATTCAAATGCACATCTAAGCTCCAAGTCTTCACTAGGAACACACACACACACACACACACACACACACAGCACATTACCTACCATAGAGTCTATTACAACTCATCGTGACCCTATAGGATGGAATGGAACTACTCTAATAGACGTTCTAAGGCTGTGATCTCTACAGAAGCAGATGGCTGCATAGCGCTTTCCCAGAGTGGCCAGTGAGTTCAAACTGCTGACCTTTCTGTTAACAGCGGAGTGCTTAACCACTGTGCCACCAGGGCTCCCTCCTTCTGGGACTGAAGTGGTCTGTTATGTAGAGTGGGTGGGGAGGTCACAACTGGGTGAGGCATCCTTTGAAAACACAGCTCTGTAGAGAACTCATGAGTGCTCCCCCCACCCCAGCAGCTTAAGCAGGCTGGAAGCAGACACCCACAGAAGACACCAATTCTCCACAGATTTGTTTTAACCTACACAGCAGCTGATCTTTTCCAGACTTGCTGCCAGAAATGAACTGCTCATATCAAAGCCGAGCAAGGCTTCGTGCAAGGCAGTTAAGTAAGGCAAATGAATTCAGAAGCTACCAGATCTTGGGTTCTGCTGGGCAGAGCTTTGTACTCAGAGCTGAGACAGCAGGCAGGGATGGGCAGAGAGAGTCCTCGGGAGACCAGACACCTTGCCCAAGAGCTGTGATCATCTCGATGCCCAGGTAGGGCATAAATCAGCTGCCAAGTGCCTCAGTCCTATGCAGGAGCTTTGAGAGGCTGGGCAGAGAGAGATACAGTGGGAATCTTGACCCAGTGACTATCAGAAACTTGGGCAAGCATGCTTCAAATCCTCAGGGCAGTCTACTGATAATTCCTGGGCACAGTAACGGTAGTACTTCCGTGATACAGTGTTGCTCAGTGCCACTGAGCCAGCCATGACCCACAGTGACCCTATATACAACAGAGCACAAGGAAGGCCTGTCCTGCCCCATTCTCACAATCATTGTTATGGGTGTGCAGCCACCTCACCAAGCTTCACTTTACCAGGTACAGGGCCCCTTCTCCAGGAACTGGTCCTTCCAGACAGCACGTCCAAAGTTGATGAGGTTTTGGTCATCCCACTTCTATGGAGATTCAAAATGGCCAATACCGATCTGTCTCCACTCACTAAGCCTTAGGATATTGGGCTTTGCGTTCTCTGTTTCATTTTTGGTGACTTTCATTTTCTCTTAGATTTATGCTTCATCATGCCACACTCCAGTTACTAATGGACGCTTTTAGGCCAGCATTGAGCGTGTGCTGAGCTCTGGGTTCCTCTTCCCTTCCTCTTATACAATAAATGCAGCTTAGGGACATTTACCAAAATTTATAGCAAGTTAGGAAAGTCTGCTGTCAGAGACCTCTCTGGAGTACATAGGAGGAACTAGGTAAGTCTGGAGACTAAGGTGCACCTGATGCAGGCCATGGTCTTTGCAATCACTGGCTATGCATCTGAAAGCTGGACAATAACTAAAGATGGTAGAAGAAGGATCGATGTTGATGCCTTTGAGTTGTGGTGCCAGAGAGGAGTGTTGAATATATCATGGGCTGCCAGCAGAACAAACAAGTCTTTCCTGGAAAGGGTGAAACCAGGCTGCTCCCTGGAGGCAAGAATTTTGAAGTTCTGTCTCACATACTTTGGGCATGTGGCCAGGAAGGACCAGTCCTCAGAGAGGGACATCATGCTTGGAATGGTGGAGGGGGGCAGCACAGGAGAGGAAGACATAGGATGAGGTGGACTGACTCAGTGACTGGAGAAATGGGATTAGAACTGTTGGAGACGATGAGATTGGCTCAGGATAGGGCAGGATTCAGAGCTCATGTACACAGGATTGCTATGAGTCCCAGGCAACTCGATGACACATGACAACAACATAGCAAATTTTAATCTGCTCCTTCGACATAAGGAACTTGAGGCTTAGAGATGTTACATTCCAAGTTGTCAGTAGAGTCAGGATGGAAAATTAAGTCATTCTTCCTGGATCATCTTTGTTTTAATGTATTATCTAGATGAAAAATTCTACTTCATTTTCCACATCATGGACTAAACACGACTGTCAACTTAAATTGGACAATCTATAGCACTGGCTTCATGCAACGTCTTGAAGTTTGGGGGAGTATTTTTGGCAATACCTGTTTTTTCTTGTAGGAAATCAGAGGGACTTGCTTTCCTCTCCCATTCTCTGGCCCCCATGTTTCCTCCCACATCTCCTACCTGGTGCAGGCAGTGAGCATCAGGGAAGTCTATCTGCAAAGAACTGAGCTCCATCACCAGGCTGTAGGCAGTGGCCAACCTCCTGGAGACAACCTGTTCTGGGGAAATCATCCCTTCTCCTGGTAGGGGCTCAAAGGAAACACAAGCCCAGGGAGAGACAGATGTGCCCATCAGGAATGGGGCAGACACCCAGTTAATACATGAAGATGAGAGTAGCTGGGAGACCAGATGTTGCAAGGTCCTAAAGGAGACATGAGCCTTGTCTCAACTCTTCCCCAACTTGCCATCTAATTTTGGATAGATTACTTGATGTAGGATTAGTATGATCATTAAATGAAAGAAAGAACCTCTTCAAAATTCCTGGCATCTAGTTGTTGTTACTGTTATGTGCTGTCCAGTCTCTTGCAATTCATAGCAACCTTGTGTACAACAGCTCTGAACCCTGCTCTATCCTGAGCCAACCTTATGGTCTCTGACACACCTACCCTCGTTACCCTAGTCACCGAATCAATCCATCTCATTGAGGGTCTTCCTCTAGTAGGAAATCAGTAAGTAAAGCTAATGGGAAGAATAATATCACTTTCAAAGTCCTAGACTGGGAGGACTCAATTACCTTCTACACCAGATCAGGACTGAGCTGGGGAGAAAGATGGCAGACAGCATTGCTACAGGGGAAAGAGAGACACAGTGCAGAGACCGAGTCATGCCTGTTAGATTTCCAAGCACCCACAATTATTAGTTCCCCAGCTTTAAGATGGATTCTTCTTCAAGGGTACCTGAATGGAAATGTTTTTTGAATTATCTTATGTACACTCGTTAATCATCTTCTCCTATTCCCTTCCATCCACTACCCCTGCTGCCTTTCCACCATCTCCAACTCACACACTAGATCACAACAGTATAATGGAGTTACCAAGGACTCTGCCTAGGACGCTCACTCCACTCAACAACACTTTACGACTTTCTTCTCTCATCATCTTACTAATAGCTCCATTTTTTTTAAGAACCTATCATGTTTCTGTTTTAGTGGGAGGGGTAGGGAATTGTTGCATTGGGAAAATCTACCATCAAGAACGTCTCCAAAGTGCTGAAGATGTCAGTTTATAGACTAAAGTGCACCTGATCCAAGCCATGTTCTTTTTAAATTGCTTCCTATGCAAGTTGGACAAAGAATAAGGAAGACCTAAGAATTGATGCCTTTAAATTGCTGTGTGACAAAAAAGAACAAACAAATCTGTCCTGAAGGGAGTGCCACCAGGGTGTTAGGGGGAAGGATGGTGAAAGTTTGTCTCGCATCCTTCAGGGATGTTTTCAAGTGAAGCCAGTCCTTGGGAAGAGACCTCATGCGAGGAAAAAGGTGGAGGGTCAGAGTAGGAGAGAAAGACCCAGAGTAGGAGACGGATTGGCACAATTGTGACTGTAGCAATGGACTTGAACATGTCAGAAGATGGTGTTGGATAGGGCAAGTGTCAGATCTGTTGTTCATAGCATTGCTCTGGGTCATAGTTGATTCAAAGGCCTCTAACAATAACTGCCTGCACAGCGGCATTTATCATCTCCAAATGGTCTGCACTGGCCAGGGTTCTGTGAAAAAACGAAAGCATTTGGATATAGAAAGGATTTTTATTTTAAGCTCATATAAAAAGGATCTTTATACACTGCCTACTTTTGGATGTGTATGTTTCAAACAAGGGATTTTTGTTTGTGGCAGATCATCTCTCCTGCTTCCAGAAACACCCTTATTTGCAATCCCCATGCCTTTCTTTCCTTTCCAGAACTCCTGAAGGTCTCAGGTACCAGCCATCTCATGGAACGGTGAAGACCTCTGCTCTGACCCTCTAGTGAACAGTTCCCATTCCCCTTTCTTAACCATCTCCCTGACCACAGAAAGAACTGAAGGGGCTAATGTGCTCCTCCTTGATCACCAGGAGTCCTGGAAGCACAGTGGTTAAAGCAGCTGGCTGCTAAGCAAAAGGTTGGAGGTTTGATCCTCATCAGGTGCTCTGTGAGAGAATAAGACCATTTGCTTCCATGAAGGCTTAAAGCCTCAGATACCCTTTGAGTGGTGGTTCTCTGTCCTACATAGTCACTAACGAGTGAGAATCAACTCAGTGACACTAGGCTTGGTTTTGGTTTTTCTCTCCAAGGGCAGAGCTAGCCCTGACTCTGCAGGCCACGCAGTTCTTCAGTGGCAGGAAGACGTGGGGCAGAAGGAGCTCTCAGAGTGTCTGTAAAGTGGCAGGAAGTCGGGGACATTTTCTGCAGCTCTAGAAGCAGATAAATGGTAGCACTGGCAACAGGGCTGGCCTCACTGGGGTCCAGGTGCTCTTACCAGAAGCTTCCTATGTAACCTCACACTTCCTCTTCCTCTCTCTGTGGGTCCATGCAGGTTCAAAGTTTTCTTCTGCACTTTTGGCAAGGGATGCCACCCCACATGCTGCCCGTGCTGGGCTCCTCCACGGTGGTGAACATCGTTGGCGTGTGTGACTCCATCCTCTACAAAGCTATCTCCGGGGTGCTGATGCCCACGGTGCTGCAGGCGTTACCTGACAGGTGGGCACAGGCGTTCTCGTCTCATCTCACAGCTACTCCTGCCCTTTTGTCCTGAACCTTTCTAACTCACTTGAAATCATTAGCTCTTATTTTATGAGTCAATCTGATTTTCATTTATTAGGTAAGTTGAGCCAATTTACATTTGTTGATGTGACAGACACTTTTGTTCTTAGTTCTAGCCATTTATTTTACCGTATTTCATGTTTTTATAGGTTTTTAATGTGTGTCAATTCAGACTTCTTGGAGATATACTTTACATACACTAAAATTCGCTATTTTTAATATAGAGGTTTTACACTGTCGGGTCAGGACCAATTTCTAGCTGACCCTCTCGTGGGTTTTCAGAAACAATAAACTGCACAGAAGGTGATTGCCTTTCCCCTTTAGAGCAGCTGGTGGGTTCAAACCGTGTGCCTTTGGGTTAACAGGGCAATTCCTTACCACTAGGTCACCAGAGCTCCCTATTTTTGGTAGTGTGGTTGGAACCAACTTATAGCTGACTCTCCAGCGAGCTTTCAGAGACAGTAAGTCATATGGGAGAACAGCCAAAATACAGAATAATTTCATCATCTCAGAAAATTCCCTTACACTCCTATTTAGTCAACCTTTCTACTCCCAAGCTCTGATAAAAGACTCATCTATGTGAAGGCCCTATTGTTTTGCCTCTTTTAGAATGTTATATAGATGGAATTCTACAGCCTTGGTATCTTTCCCCACTGAGCAAATGCATTTGAAAGTCATTCATGTTGTGTGTATCAATTTGTTCCTTTTAAAAGTTGTTATTGTTGTTATATGCTATTGAGTCACCTTTGACCCATAGTGACCCTATGTACAGCAGTTCTGAACCCTTCCCTGTCCTGAGCCAGTCTCACTAATCCTGATACACTGACCCCCAATGCCCCAGTTACTGTATCAATCCATTTCATTCAGGGTCTTCCTCTTCTGCACTGTCCCTCCACCCTTCCGAGCATGATGTCCTTCAAGGACAGGTCTCTCCTGGCCACATGCCTAAAGTATGTGATATGGAGCTTCAAAATCCTAGCCTCCAAGGAAAAACTTGGTTTCACCCTCTCCAAGACAGACAATTTGTTTTCTTGGCAGTTTATGGTGTGTTCAAGACTCCTCTCACTCCATAATATGGATATACCACAGTTGGTTTAATCCATTCACTGTTAAATTTGAGTTGTTTCTAGTCTGAGTCATTATGAATAAAGCCGGGATCAGCATATAGGCTGGACCATGTCAATAACACAGTTATATTTTAGAGTGGGTAAAGATAAGTCTTTTTCTTTTCCTTCATTCTAATGATTTCTGATCTTTGTGTTTGTGTGAAGACCGTAGCATCTGGGTAATAATATATGCCTCTGCCTGAAAAAAAAGTCTAACATTTCCTATAGTGAAGGCATGGTGGCAGTGAGTTATTCCTTTAATTTTTGTTTCTGAATCCTTGTAAGAGTGATCTGAGCTTCTTGGATCTGTGGTTTGATGTATTTCATGATTTGCAGATCTCTCCAGACATTATCGCTTCAAATACGTCTACTGCTCTATTTACACCTGTTCTTCTCCTTCTGTGATCTCCGTTATGTGCATGTTCAACCATCAGATATTCTCTTGGACGCTTTATTTTACTTTTTTTTTTTTATTTATTTTTGTGTGTATGTTTTTCTTATTTTTTTTGTACTGTGTTAAGTTTTACTGTTTCATTGAGTTACGTAAACCCTATTAATGAGACCATTGAAGGCATTCCTCGTCTATGTTACCATACTCTGGATTTGTTTTCATTTCTAATGTTTCAAATTATTTTTCCATAAAACTTATTTGATTCTGCTATAGTTCTTCATCTGTCTTTTCCATTAGGGGCTTCAGCAAAGTAATAGCCATTTGTTGTTGGTAGCTGCTGTCGAGTCTATTGCTGACCCAAGGTGACCCCCATGTGCAATACAACAAAATGCTTCCTGGTCCTGCACCATCCCCATGACTAGCTGCAGTCCATACTCCATTGTTCATAAGCTGAAACCCAACCTGACCCACCGCCTTCAAGCCCATTTCAATGCGTGGTGAACCCCTACGGAGTAGTTCTACTCAGTAATGCATGGAGCTGCCACATCAGTTATTTCAAATTCCAGTTAAGAGTATGATTCTGTTGTTTGCTATGCCCTTGAGAATGGATTGTTTTCTTTTCTTTTGTCTTGTAAATTTTTTTAGGTTGTTATTTTTTGTTTTTTTTACTTGCCAGCAGATGGGCATAAAAGAGTGGAGGCTGAGGGAAGCAGAATTTATGCCAAGAAATGGACAGACTTCTTTCCCTATGCTGCTAATAGGTGTTCTTCTTGTCCCGAGATCAACAGGGGTGCTGACCCGCCTTAACCACCTGAGACTTTAGTTTCATCGGGTCCCGAGCCCCTGAAGGGACTCGGTGCCTTTCCCATAGCAGCAGTTTCTCCCTTCCTCAGAGAATGCACCTCTGAACGATGCAGTTTCTCTTTTCTGCCGTCCTGCCCCACACCTCTCTCATGAACTCTTAGTAAGATACGTGCAGATGAGCCTATGACTTGCTGTGAATTCTTGTGGCTATTGTTCCTGGAGTTCAGTAAGTTCACACTCGCTCTGACTTGGTCTTTAACAACTTGTTAGCCATTTTAGCTCATTTTTTACTAATTTAGCTCATTTTTACTCAATTTGTTGGGATGTCCTACTTTTCTCCTATCACAAATGAACCATCTTGTCTCCTTTTCTCTCTTTCAAGATGTTTTGTCTTTCCATAAATTTCAGGCTAGGTGGTTTCCCTATGACCCCAGTATTCTAATGAGTTCAAGAAAAGCTATGATTTTGTAGATTATATGACTCTTTCTTCTTATGATGATGGAGGACATGCTATTTTCATTTTGTGCATTTTGATGGAACAGAAATTCACTCTTAACAGACTAGCAGAAGTTACCTCAGGTAGTATTATGGACAAATTTTAGTCTTGTTCATTTCCAAGTTATACATGTGGTCTGCATTATTCGTATGTGCATATCACGTGTTATGCATCAGAAAGTTGGACAGTGACCAAGGAGGATAGAAGGAGAATTGATGCCTTTGAGCTGTGGTGCTGGAGAAGAGTATTGAGAATACCATGGACTGCTAGGAAAACAAACAGATTCGTCCTGGAAAGGGTTAAACCGGGTGGCTCCTTGGAGGCAAGGATTCTGAGGCTCTGTCTAACATACTTTGGACATGTTGTGAGGAGAGACCGGTCCTTGGAGAAGGACATCATGCTTGGGAGGGTGGAGGGACAGCACAGGAGGGGAAGGCCCTCTATGAGGTGGATTGATTCAGTGACTGGGGTAATCGGGATGGGAGTATCTGAGACAGTGAGATTGGCACAGGACAGAGCAGAGTTTAGGGCTGTTGTACATAGGGTTGCTTTGAGTCGCAGGCGACTCGACGGCATATAACAAAAACAACAATATATCAATGGCACCTAACAACAACAGCATATGCATTTATGTATGTGTGCATATGTTGTTGATGGGTGACATCAAGTGAACTACAACTCATAGCGACCTACGAACAATGGAGCTAAACCTTGCCCTGTCTTATGCTGCCATCCTCTTCTCTGACATGCTCGCAAGACAGTCGCTGTGTCAATCCATCTGGTTGAGGATCTTCTTTTATCTCTGACCCTCCACTTTTTTCTGGCATGATGTCTTTTTTTCTTTAACTTTTTTTGTCTTCGTTATCTTTTTTCATTCAGCTATACGCTTTTTTCCCCCCTTAAGTATACATAATATTATCTGCAGAGTGTGAATGCTTCTAACAATTCAATTTTTTAAAACAATTTTTAGTTGTAATTTGAATTAAGATTTACAAAGTAAGTGAGTTTTTTATTCAGCCATTCACAAACATTTTCTTCTCCAACATCAATTTCTCCTTTTTTTGAGATTTTAATAAAAGTTTATAAAGAACTTGGATTTCCATTCATCCATTGTTGCATTTCTTTAACTTTTTATTGTGAATTGGGTGAAGGTTTGCAGAGCAGATTAATTTTCCATTCAACAACCTCATATATTTTGGGGGGAAAGTTTAGCAGAGTACTTAGGTGTGGATTTTTGTTGTTGTTGTTGCTGTTGGTTTTTCTTTTAATTTTATTTAGGGTTTGTTTTTTTTTCATTCACTTTGTGTTTCTTACAATCATTCCTATACATTGTGCCTTACAAAAATTAATCACCATTGATCTATTCCCATTGTTACAATCTTTTCAGATCCTTATTGAGTCTTTCCTAATTCCTTACCTCCTCCCTCTGCCCACTAAACTCTGTAACCCTGTGATTTCCTTCCCTCCCACCTTCAGTCCCCCTGCCTACTCCCTTTCCTTCTTTGAATATCCATACACTACTTACCCTTCTTTGTTTAAAATAATGGTCTTATGCAGTATTTGTCCTTATTGGCCTGAGTTAGCTCACTCAAAATAATCCTCTCTAGCCTCTCCCATGTTATAGCAGTATCATAAACTATAGCAAGAACATGGAAACAGCCCAACTGTCCATCAACAAATTACTAGATTGAAAAAAAAATGACTAGATTGAGAAATTGTGGTACACTCACAAGATGGAATACTATACAACACTCGGGAGCAACAATTTTGGAAAATACTGTATAACATGCGAAAGGCCAGAGAGCATGCTGCCCTTTTCAAATGATTGGTCTCTTCTGACACGTGCAAAGTAGGTGAGATCAAGTTTCACTATCCCTGCCTCTAATAAGCACCCTGGTTGCAGCACTCCAAGACAGATTTCTTTGTTCTTTTGATAGTCCATGCAATATTCAGTACTCATCTCCAACACCACAGTTCAAAGGCATCATTTCTTCGTCTTTATTCATTGTCTAACTTTCAGATACATAGCAAGTAATTGCAAAAATCATGGCTTGAATCAAGTGCACTTTGTTGTTAAACTGACACTGTTGCTTTTGAGCACTTCTGAGAGGCCCCTGAGAGCAGACTTTTCCCAATGCAA